TCCTACAACTTTTGGATGTTGGTGCACGGAGACTTGAACCCGAGCCATAAAAAAAAAACAACAAAATAAAAAATATGAAATGAAAAAAAAAATAAAAAAATTAAATAAAAAAAATAAAATAAAAAATAAAGAAAAAGCAAAATAGAAAAAATAAATATAATTAAAAATTTGATATCAAATGAAATCAAATAAAATAGAAATAAAATAAAAAACCAAAAAAAAAAAATAATAAAAAATGAAATACAACCAAACAAAAAACAATAAAATTAATTTAAATCAGCTTAGCAAACACTAAATTAATTAAAATTAAATTAACAAAAAGAAATGAATTTAAATTAAATTTACTACAATTAAACTAATTAAAGCTAACTTGAACTTAATAAAATCAAATAAATTAAAAAAATANAAATAAAATAAAATAATATAAAATAAAATAAAATAAAATAAAATAAAATAAAATAAAATAAAATAAAATAAAATAAAATAAAATAAAATAAAATAAAATAAAACAAAATAAAACAAAATGTAAAGTAAAATAAAATAAAATACAACCAAGCAAAAAAATAAAATTAGTTTAAATCCACTCAATTAACATTTATTTGATTAAAATTAAATTTACAACATAATTAAATAAAATTAAATTAACCAAAGTTATATTAATTAAAACTTACTTAAGTTTAAGAAAATCAAATTAAATTAAATACTTTTAAATTTCTTTTTTATTTGAAATAAATTTTATATACAATTAAATTAAATAATTTTAATTAAAATAAAGTTAAATTCAGTTATTTTAATTAAAATAAATTAATTAAATAGAATGGAAAAAATTAACTAAATTAGTACAAATTAATTTAAAGAAAATAAAAATGAATATGGTAAAATTTAAATAATTTACGTTAAATCAAATGAATTAAAATAAAATGCATTGAAATATAACGAATTAGTTTGATTGTTTCGCATTCTTAGTGCCTGCAAAGTCCTTAACACCTTTTTTGTACCTCATGATTTTTTTAATACTCATCTTAATTCACTTACACTACCTAAAGCAATTCCCATTATGCTTCCTTATCAACCTTCGGCGCCACAGCTGCATTTATTCACACAAAACTTTCATATTTTTAACACTTTTGCGATGCAAAATGCAAAACTTTTCTTTTAATGCAAAGTTGTAAAGCAAAACCCTTACATACTGTATATATATACAAATGTATATATATATTCTCATACCGGTATATTTTGCAACATTTATGAAAAAGCTATTTGCGGCATCAAAGTGACGAAATACAAAGTCGTTAGATATGAAATGACATAAATAAAAAATTCGAATGAATGAAATAAAACAAAATTAAATAGAACTAAGAAAAATTTCTCACACACATTCTTCACATTCAAATAAAAATGACATACAGATAGTACAAGTTGGATAAGAGAAATTCACCCTTTCGCCCACAAACGACCTTAAAAAGCACTTATTGCAGCACTTTAGCGAAACTTTTCACTTTTTGTTGATTTTTTCTTATTTCGTTCGAATGAAGAGTGGGGTGAGGTCAAAATATGAAATGTATTGCATTTTGTTAAAAAAAAAATAATAACAACAACAAACTATTTACACATCCGCAACACATGAAGAAAATGATATTTGTCTTCCGAAACACTTCCACAAAGTTAAATATGAAACTTGAATTAAATGAAAGTTCAAAGGCAACAAATAAAAAATTAAAACGAAAGAAAGTTTTAAGTGAATATCTTTGTGGTGAACTAAAGCAGGCAAGTAACCGCAGATTATAATGATTTTTGAGCCATATATTTTGTTAGATTACAACATGTGTGGGCTCACATACATATATATTTACATTGAACACATTGTATAATAAACACTGAAACATATATACAAAAAAAAAACACTTAAAAAGCATATATACATATGTATGTGGTGCTACACTCTCTAACACTTGGAAGGTGATGCTGAAACTCATTAACATTGAAGTACCCCACTAAAGTAGCTGGTGGCGGCTGAAGGAAGCGGCTTAAGAGCTTTCAACTGAAAAGCATGATCTCACACGTTTGGCAAACCTTAGAGCTACAGTTTTGTGCATTTTGCGGTTTTAGAAAACTAAAAAAATGCAAAACGTGACTATTGTAACCGCAAAAGGCCAAATATTTTCTAAAAGCATAAGCTTGGTAAAGCTTGAAGGCTCTACGTATAAAAATGTTCTTTTTAAAGCCAGTTTAGGAATTAAAAAATAAAATAAAACGATTAAAATAATTTAAAAAAATAAAATAAAACAACATCAAGGGAAAAAAAAGCAGAATCAAATAAAATGAATAAAAAAAATAAAAAAAATTTAAAATAAAATAAAATAAAAAATAAATAAAAATAAAATAAAATTAAATTAATAAATAAAGTTTTATTAAACTAAATAAAATTAAATTAAACTAAATAAAATAAAATAAACTAAAAAAATAAAAAATATATAAAAATATGAAAAAAGAAACAAAATAAAATAAAATGAATAAAAAAAATTAATTTAATAATAATAATAAAAAATGAAAAAATTAAACTGAAATCACATAACCTAAAATAACATAAAATAAAAAATGAAGTGAAATAAAGTAAAATAAAACTAAGTTAACAATACAAAATTAAATTGAACTAAATTAATTTAAACTAAATTAAATAAAGTAAAAAATAAAAAAAATTAAATAAAATTAAAAATAAAAAAAAAATTAAATAAAATAAAAAATAAAAAAAATTAAATAATATAAAAAATAAAAAAAAATTAAATAAAATAAAGATTAAAAAAAAAATTAAATAAAATAAAAAATAAAAAAAAATTAATAATAAAAAATAATAATAAAAGAATAAATATCAAAAAAAAATAAATAAAGGACAATGAAATAAAATTATGTAATTAAATTAAAAAAAATATATTTATATAAATTAAACCCAAATTAGTTAAATTATATAAAATAAGGTAATACAATATATTAAAAAAAAAAATATATAAAATAAATTTAAAATAATAAAGTGAAATAAAAAATGAAATAAAATATTATTAATGGTAGTCAAACTAAATAAATATAATAAAAGTAAAAAAGAAAAAAATTAATATAAATAAAATAATAAAAAAAAAATTAAATAAAGTGAGATAGAATAATATAAGAGTTAATTAAATTAAATTAAATTAAAATAAAATAAAATTAATGGAAATAAAGTAATATAAAAAAATTAAAAAACTAAATTTAAAAAAATATTAGAGGTAATTAAATTAATTAAATTTAAAGTAAGTTAAATAAAACTAAACCTGGCAAAATAAAATTAATAAACACAACATTATATGAAAAATTTAACTGAAATAAAAAAAGAGGCAATTAATCTAAATAAAATTGTATAAATTTAAAATAAATAAAATTAAACAGAAAAATAAGAGTGAAAACAATATAAAAGTAAGAAATAAATTAATTTAAATAAATAATTAAATAAAAATAAATTAACACAAAGGAAAAATAAAATGAAAAAAAAATAAATAAATTGCAAAATAATATAAATTTGATTGAGAAAATTGGAACTTATCAAATCAGAGTTAATGAAGAATAGTTTTTTTTTTTCATTTCATTATTAAGGGAAAGTATACATTTATATATATTTCTTTTAAATGCAATTTAAAAGCTTTCATCCTCGATTCTCAAGCACTGTCACATTCCTAAATGCCTGAAAAACATCTTTTAAAGCCTTAAACGGTTTCCCATATTGTCATCAATTCCACTTGAAAAGCGCCCCCTTTTTTGTTTGTCTTCTCAGCCTATTCGATGACATTCCTAATACGTTTGGCTTGCAGCAACGACACTGCATATTGTACGTCCAACACACTCGTTTGTATTTTTCGTCACTCAATATCTCAGTCTTTCCTGCAATGCAATTTCATTGATGGAACAGCTGTCAACAGCTGGTGACTTGGATTTTATGTACTTGAAATATCAGAGCTAGGGACAGGAAGAAGGAGAAGAGTGAGAGAAAAACTAAGCGATTACGAAGATTAGGTGATTTGCGCATGGCGTTTTGGTATGACCTCCGTGGCATATGAGGCTTATAGAGGCAGTTTCATATATTTGCCAATTGGCACATCCACACCCACTACACACACCTCCCCTGCTCCTCTCACTCTCCCTCTCTCAATATTTCTCTCTATCTATTACATACATGGCAGCCTGTCCGGCCGACTGTCATTGTCACTGTCGGTGAATTCGATGAAGATGAATCCATTCTTAATGACAAATGTACGAAGAGTCCCACCTACGAGTACAAGCTGACTTCGCATCAAGTCCTGACATGTAATATATGTCGTGAGGCAACAACAAAGCCAACATCTATTCGATCATATGCTTGTATGCACTGCAATCAATGCAGCTTTAATGTCAGTCGCGTGGCAGTTTCGTAATAGAAGTGAAGCGAGGCTCCTGCTATCCACACTGTGGCGACAAGGCTGTGAATGTCGGTTTTGTGTTTTTTTTTGTTTTTTTTTTTTTTTTTTTTTTTTTGTTTTTGCTTGGTTGTTGGCTCTATATTCTTTATTCATCAATTCTAGCTTACATTTCTCCATATGGCCACACGGCACAATTGGGTCAAGTGTGCCGCACACACAGCAGCTGCGACGTCCAAGTGAACTCATGTGGGCAGCAGGTATACTCCATGTAGTAGTATGTACGGACGAGCACATGTGCTCTTTGTCGGCACTTTACATTTTCAAGTGCGCAAAAACATTAGGAAATTGAGTTGTGAAAATATTTTTTCATTACCTTTGCTTTACTTTGTGTTCAAACTGCGTTTTGGAGCATACTTGCAGGCGCTTAAGTGTATATATGTGAATTCACACATATTTATTTAAGAAATTTATACAAAAAAATATTCTTAAAGTCTTACATTCAATTAAATTGGATATGTTTATTCCATAAAATTTAATTTTACTAATTTCCATCTTTCGCTCTCACTCTCTTTACAGGTAAGTTTCAGCAAAGTAGTTTCATAACAACCACCACAAGTGGTACTAGTAAGTACACATTTTTCTATTACACTTTAAATAAACACAATATTGAACATAAATTAATATTTATTTAATAGTTATACTTATATAAAGGCGACTTAAGCAAACTTGTTTATGTATTTAATTAACGCAAATTTAGTTTGTATGTGTTTGTATTTGTATTGGAGCATGAAAAATAATTTTAAACATTTTTTTAAATAAACAATTCCTTACATATTTTTTTAATGAATTTTGATAAATTTTTTTTCCATCAAATTTATTAGACTTAAATTTTTCGCTTACCGCGAAATATTCCAAAGCATACTTTTTGGCGCAGCTTGCGTGCAGTTCTCAAAGGCTTCATGGAAACAAAATTAACTTACTAAAAGAATATTTAGAAACATTTTTTCAATCTCTGGCAATTAATTATTAATTTTGAAATATAAATTTAAAAAAAATTTTAAGGCATAATTCATAAATCAAATAAAATGCGGCAAATAGTAAATAAATTGCAATTGAAATAAATTTCAGAACTTTTTGCTTCTAAATTTTTAGAGGAATGCTAAAATAAAAACTTTTTTTATATATTTTTTTCTTTTCTTTTGTTTGTTTTAAAATTTTGCTCAATTCGTGTAAAAAAAAAACTTAAAAAAAAGTTAAAAGATCAAAATTTTTGCAGACAAATTATAAATAAATTTGTGTTAGTTTTCAAAACTAAAAAAATGTCAAAATTATTATTTTTTAATTCATATAAAATTTTTGTGTTTTTGAAATATAATAAGGTATAATAATTTTAAGTTTAATTTTTTTAATAAATTTTTTAGTATTCAAATATTTATATTATTTTTTCAAACTAATTAATTTAATAACTAAAGTAGATATTTGAATACTAATAATAGTTTTTTGTTGCCTTTTACAGATATAAAAAGTTTTGTGTTTGAATTTTGAAAAATTTGAATTCCAATAAGTTTTTCAAATATAATTTTATTTTTTCAATATTTTACATAATGGTGTTATTTAAAGTGCAGTTATTTAGTTTTTACAAACATTTTAACATTCTTGCACATTTTTTAACTATAGGAAAGTTACAAAGAAAAATTTTTGCGAATATAAAAAATTCAAATAAAATTAAAATTTTTTCTATATATATTCGAAATTTCAAAAAAAAAAAAGTATATAAGTTCGAAAACAATATTTAACGAACGCAATTTTATGCAGTAAGAGAGTTTTAAAATTTGTTGAAAAATTTACCGTTAATTGATTCTGAATACTAAAAAAAACTCCAAAAACATTTGTTTTTTCAGATTGTGTGAGTTGAAAAATTTTTGAAAATGAAACTTTAATTAAAGTTTTTAAATATTAAAAATTATTTTATTTTTTTTTTTGCTTAACCTTCAAATCATTTAATTACAAAAATTGTTAAGTGTAATTTAAATAACACCAAATTTTATAAGCTATAAACTCTAGTTCCAAAATTTACACAAAAAGTTTGAACAATTTTTAAGAATAAGTAAAAAATAGTGGCTTAATGTTGTTAACAATAATAAGTGCTGCCAATAGCTAGCTATCAAGATGCTGGTTGGGGTAGCACCAATAAAAATTAATGTTAAGCTAAATATTCGCAAACAGAGTGATAGATCTGCACTTTACTGTGTCACCAGCAATCAACTATACATACATCCAAATTTAGGAAAAAAAAATCTGCAACAACCTTCGGTCTCCCCACGCTCATTGTGCTTCTAATGGCAATGAGATAATTCACTTTAAACAATCACTTTTGTTTTTCTTATTGTTGTTAGTATTGTTGTTGTTGTGTTGTGACAGGCAATCGGATTACCCATAGCTATTTGCACACAAGCAGAAGCAGGTGACTCCTCTTAGAACCCATTTAAGGCAACACAGGACAACCTTTCAGCATCGTTGCACCTTGCACTTGAAGACCTTCAAAAGCCAACCCACTTCACTCTCCAACCTGCGCCGCATGGAAGCAACAGCTTCAAATGTCCATCGTTTTATCTCCATATTTCCATCAACATTTCAATTTCCCAAGTGCACTACTGTGTCATGAGACAATTTTTCGAAAATTCTCTAACTTGCGCTGATCTCTGGCCTCAGCAGACGCGCAACTGGCTTTCAATAGGTCACCAACACTCTCCTCCTCATCTCACTGACAACGGCCAACTGGCAATGGGCGCAAAGTTGATTTAAATGCTTCAAGTGAACATTACAAAATATTTATCTGCATTAGCATATCAGTTGCCGCTTGCTCCGAGCGACTGCTTGAAAGCTCTTCCGTTCGATGGTGTGCCCACTCTCTGCCCGTCGCCGGCGCATTGCTACCATTTGCCGATTCCTTCGTGCATATTTATTACGCTTGTAAGTGCTTTTTGCAATATTAAAATATTATTAGTCGCTTTTGCAATGACTAAGTACATATTTACACTCGCAATCGACATTGCAAAGGCAGCAAGGATTTAATTTCCCATTTATCCGGAAGCTGGAGAGGACATTTTGCGAAATTATTATGGAACTTGAATTCACTCGAATTTTCTTGCAATGTGCTTCCTTTCGTTAACTAGAAAATATATTTAAAAACACTTAACTAATTTAAAGTTTAATTAAATATTTTACAAATGCTAAAAGCGTGCCATTTTGTTTAATTGGTTTTCGAATGTCCATATGGACATATATATGTATAGAATAAAATAAAATAATTTGTAAAAAAAAATAAATTCAAATAAAATTACAATAAAATATTTAAACGAAAATGAAACTGAAATAAAAAAAAATACATTAAAATTAATTAAAAAAAAAATAAAATAAAATAAAATAAAATAAAATAAAATAAAATAAAATAAAATAAAATAAAATAAAATAAAATAAAATAAAATAAAATAAAACAAATTAAAACCAACAATATGAGAAAATAAAATTTGTGACGGGATTGCAGAGGTAATTCATTATTTATTTAGAGGTAAACTACAAGTTGATCTTCTCTCCACAAGCTTTTAATCCAGAAGAAAGTTTTAAGTTATAAAAAGAATAAAAGAACAAAGTATAGACTACAAAAGGAAATAACCAAATAATATAATATTACAAACATAAAGTAAAAAAAATATTTATTAAAATAATAAAAAAGACAACATAAAAAATGATAAATGCATAAATGAAATAAGCTTTTTTTTATAATTTTCATCATTTTGTACTTTTAAGTTAACAAAGAAGTTTAACTCATGTTGCACAGAAAATATTTCTACTGCCTTCTCTACTCGCAATTTTACTACATATGTTTAAATAAATCTAGATATGTTTTTTTTAAGTACCTACATTATGCTACGTAAATTTTCCGCTGCAGCTAAAGCGCCGCTAATTGCTTTTTGTTTATACAATTACTCTACGTAAGCTTATAAATATTTAAGCAACGCTCCATTCGCCCCCTTTTCATACATACATATATATGTGTGGATTTAAATATAATTGTGTCTATGTCATAATTAAAGCTATACACACACACATACTAAAAAAACAAATATTCTCATAGGTCACTTAAAATGACAAACTCAAAGGTCATACTGAACAAGCAAACAATAGTAAATACGCCTAAGTACGATGACGATAACAACAATACACAAACAACAAAAATACTCATACATTACATTGTTATGAGATTTATTTATGTGTTTCTAAATGACATGAGTCAATAAGTGAGTCGACACGGCGTATGCGGTGTGCACGGAGGCAGAGGAGCAGTGGTAATGGCAGCCGAGGCGCAGCTGTCAGATTAAAAATAGAGATATTAGTGTGTTATGTATTATATATAAATATATATATTCACAAATTAGTGCTTAAATAAATATTAGTCTAAGTTTAGTTCTATCGTGCGGTCTAATTTTTTTATTTTATATTTCATTTAATTTAATTTAATTTTAAATTATTTTTTTTTTATTACTTAATTTTATTTTGGTTTAATTCTTTTTCTACAAAAAATCTTATCATATATATAAATTTTTTTCATTTAGTACTTTTTTTATTTCAAGTTGTTTTTATCTTACTTTTGTTGTATTACATTTTATTATAATTTATTTTATTTTATTTTATTTTATTTTATTTTATTTTATTTTATTTTATTTTATTTTATTTTATTTTATTTTATTTTATTTTATTTTATTTTATTATAATTTATTTTATTTTCATTCTCCTGCCCTCAATGAATCACTTAAATATTGTGTTAAATCTTAAGATCGTTGAAAAATGTCAGTCCCATATGCAAATCAACTCTCTACTTATCTTCTAACATATTTCTCTCTCGCTCTCTTTATTCAAACGCAAATACCCATGTGACGCAGCTTTCTTAATTAAATACAATATTTTCCCATAATTTTGTCTCATTTATCAATGGCTCTTTTGAGAAAATCAATTTTGAATAGCAGAAAATTAAGATTTCACAGATTTCAATCGTACGCTTCAGTTGACGTTAATGAATATTTGTTGTAATGTTTTACAGCAAGTTCTTGTTTCCATTTTCACTTTGTACATACATACATAGTATGTATGCTTATGCCAATGAGTCAATAGTAAATTTGAAAAATGACCAAACTCGTCGCGCTCTTCTCCGAAATTCGTTCGAATTTTCATTTAAATTTTAGCTTAGTAAACTTTGCAGTTTTTTTTTTTTGTTTGGTTTTTGTTTTTTGTTTTCACTTTAGAATATTCTACACTTTATTGACAATATTATTTATTTTCTGCTTACAATTAATCTTCCACTTTTTGGGCGCAGCTGGTGGCGCTTTGGTGTGCTCTGGGTGATACAATAGATTTGTCGCGTTTAGTTTCGCAGCAAATTTGACATAAAATGGGATTAGTTTTGCTTGAGAAAAATCAAAAAAAAAAATGTAGTTGAATAATTTGTATAACAATTTTTAGAATATTAAAAGTGTAAAACACTCTTTAAAATAGAATACAGATAACATGACTTTTAAAATTAATTGTTTGACGTATTTAAAAGCACGCGTTTGGATTTTAGTTCT